ACCCCGCCCTCCCCGTAGTTGCCACCAGAAATGCGGCCACAAGAGCTCCTTGCACTTCCCTGGGGACGTGTTTGCCACCCCTGAGCGGGCAGGGGGCAGCCCTGGCCAGGGCCCCATGCCCTACCTGGACGACGACATCCCCTTGCTGAGCGTCGAGGAGGAGCCGGGTGAGAGCAGGGCAGGCCTGGGAGGGGCCGCTGGCCACGTGGTGTGGGGAAGGCCGGTCCCAGTGGCAGTGGCCCAGGCAGCCCATGGGGTCCTCACACGCTGGGCCTCCCTGGAGGGGTACACGCCAAGAAGGCTGTGACAGGCCACCACTCTGCCCTGGCAGTGTCCCTGGAGCTGGGAGATGTGTCGCTGGTGTCCGTGCCCCCAGAGGGCCTGCAGCCGTGCCCTGGCAGGGGCAGCCGGGACCAGCTCCTGGTGCAGCTGCAGGAGCTGCTGAACCACTGGGCCCTGTGGTCCGCCGTCAAGAGCCGCTGGGTGGTCGTGGGTGAGTCCTCCACCCCCTGCCTGCGTCACCTGCAGCCCAGCACATGCTCCCAGGAGCCCATGCAGAGGTGAACTGGAGGTTGGAGTCTGGGCGGAGCCTCCCTCCCTGAGCCTCTCCTGCCTGTGCAGAATGTGGCTGGTCCCGCTGTGGCCACAGCTGGTCCCTGCGCTGGGCAGTAGTGCAGAACCCTGACGCTGGCCTTGGCTGAGTTTGAACCCCGGCTCTGCTGCCTGCTTTCTGTGGCTTTGGCTGTGTCAGCCTGACCCCCAGTTTCCTCTTCGTCCTGGACAATGAGAAACACATCTGGTGAGACACCATTAGGGCTGTGAGGGTCGCTGCAGAGGCCCAGGCCAGAGCGCTCAGGGCACACCCAGCACTGACCTGCCCACACCTTCAGCAGCAGGTTGGAATTGGGTGCTGTCGGGTGGTGTGCCAGCCCCTCGAGAGCTATGACACACTAGGAGGCCGGCTGCTCACCCAGTGACTCCACATGGCACAGCCCCTGCCCTGGGGACAAGTCCCCAGGAGGTGTCACCCGCAGGCTGCTACACGGCCTTGCCCACTCCCTTGGCTGCCTGGCTGTGGACTTGCTGCTGGGCCAGCCCCGCCTAGCGGAGCGTCCCTCCCGCAGGGCTCTTCGTCTCCATCCTTGTCCTGTCCCTGGTGTTCGCCAGCCGCCTCCGCCCCGCCAGCCGCGCCCCTCTGCTCTTCCGGCCGGACACCAACATCCAGGTGCTGCTGGACCTCAAGTACAACCTGAGCGCCGAGGGCATCTCCTGCATCACCTGCTCAGGTGAGCACTCCTGGCACATCGCCACCCTCCACCCAGCGCCAGACTGTCGCCTAAGAGGTGTGAGATCCAGGCTCCGCGTCACTGTGTGACACCGGCCTCTGTCCTCACGTTTCATTATGTGCTTCCTGGGTGGCGCCATGCATTGGCACCAAGGACACAATGGGCAGGAGGGACAGGCCCCTGAGCTCCAGGAGCCTGTGTTCACGATCGTGCGCGAGAGCTTGTGGGACAGCGGGTGCCCTGGGTGTGGTGTCCTGCCAGGCCCTCGGGGAGGTGATGTCTCTGAGGCTGAGGAGAGGAGGGACTTCCTGGGCTGGGAGGCCGGGGAGGGGAGTCAGCCAGACTGGGCGGG